CACCTTGTTTGTGCTTTTGTTGGTATTTTACTTTTCTTAATACTTGCTTACGCCACCACAATTGAGAAAAATAACAGCCGTTGTACCATATAAAAGTCAGTCTGAATAAAGAGGGTAGCATGAAGTAATTAGAAGTATAGAAAGGATGCTCCGATGGAAAATTTACAGCAATATCTGCAACATTTGAGTCAAATCGAATTTTGCGTAAACAAAAGAAAACTTTATTAATTTCTATTTTCGTTAAACTTGCCATTAATCTGCTTCCATAAGTGCCATAATATCGAACTCGCATCAAGAGACAAATAAAAAATTAAGCTTTGTTTTAAATTTACGTTTAAATTTGCACGTTTTCTTTTATTTACGATTTAATTTTTTTGCTTTTATTTAGGAAACAATCATAAAAAATATTACACTATATACGACAGGGCAGTAGAATGAACTGGATTACATCGAATGATTTTATTCCTTATATAAAGTGCCATATATTATCATAATTTTTTTTTTACAAATTTTGCCCATTATGAAAACTAAAATATTAAAATAGAAATTATAGAAATTTTGAAAACATTTTTCTATGGGTCTCTTTTAAACTTCTTCAAAAATAAAGATTTACATTACAATATATATATTCTATATCTGTACTCAACAGAGCACTTTTTTCAGAACTTATGGCCATTCCCTCATTTACAATATAACGACTTGCCGAATTACTAATTCGTATGTTACTTCGTAGGATGTCCTCTTCATTAATTTTAGCTATCACACGAAAGGTAGAAGATTTCGAAATATAAAAGACTTCTTTCAATTTAATCTTGCCGTTTTGATCACTTTTTAGGTTATTTTCTTTTTCGGGATTCCAAATACCATTGTCAATAAACTTCTGTATTCTTATTCTTATACTTTCTTCGCTGTCATGAGAAATTGGGAGTTCGATTCCAGTGAGGAAACAATCTTCTAGAACAAATATCTCCGAAATGAACTGGAACTTGTTTTCCATATTTATATCTTCATCGTGAATGGAATAACTTCGATTGCAATATATGAACCAAAAGCTATGTTTTTCATCGTTTCTCGAAAGATGACTTCTAGAAATGCTATCTGGAATTAATGATTTGTCAGATGTTACTTTGTAGTGTTGAATGGCATTTACTTCTTGTTCTGTTAAGAGTGGTTTCGGATATACATAGCTTTTCAAAAATTTATCATCCATTGTAAGAAACCTGATTTTGACTAAGAATGGAGCCACCACTTGCCGCAGAGATGTTTTCGCGTTAACTTTACGTCTTGCCCATTCGTAAACAATCTTAAATATGGTCATCTCGTCCAAATTTTGATACATAGGACGAGAAACGAGTCTACGAATCACAATTTCTCCACAGTTCAAAGCGTTTTTATTTTGAAAAAATACATTATCCCAATGATCATTAAACATCCTCCAACAAAAATATTGTAAGATATAATCAGTGCTTTCGCAAGCAAGCTCGTAAATTGCACAAACATGTGGTATATGAATAGGCTGGGCCAAACGAGTTCGGCAGTATCTATTTAATATAAACATGCACAATATTTTGCTAATTCGATAAACGTCCATTGCATGCTTCAACGAGTAAAATTCCGGAAATTGATTTTTCATAAATCTATATATAAGGAAATCAAAACAATTAAGATTAGATCAGAATGTGATATTTTAAGATATATGTAATAATTTTATATTTCTATAATAAAGCTTTATTGCAAGCGATTAAAAAGTAAGCTTTAGGTGTAATATACTGTACTATAAAAGTATCTATTGATACTTATTTTCAACATTTTAAAACTCATCTATACTGATAACAGTGACAGTTAGTTTATGAAGAAAATACTGCACGCTATTAGTACGTGTATTAAAATAAAATTAAATATATTGTAAAATTCAATGATCAAAGAAAAAACTTACTCATCGATTATCTTAATAGTTTCGAATGCGTAAGGCAAGTAAATGTGCATAGATACGTTTTCCGAATATGGCTTCAATATGAATTTTATTGTTGGACTGAATTTACGAAGCATCGATTGTGAAACGGATATTTTTCTTCCATCCACAGAATGTATTTGAATCAATTTCATTATAAATTCTTATGCCAAATTAATTAAATGTTTTTGAATACAGTTTTGGATGAGAAGAGAAGATACTATTGTCGAATTAAACTATTGTTTCGTCATAAATAAACAATTGCTCATGTGATTAACTCTAATTCTTTTCAAATTTCGTCATCAGGAGTTTTCAGTTAGAGAATAATTCTTTTATAACACGATATTTCTAAAAAACAGTTCCAGAATTTCAGAAGCACCAAGAGCGTAGTCAGGATTTTTTCTGAAAGGTGATTAAAATGAGATAACGTTGTTTATTAAAGACATGATTTGATTTGAAGATTTGAAAAGGCTAAAAGTAATTAGTTACTATGCTATTCGAACTTATCTAAATCTTATTTCAGCACTAACTTACGGCAGTTCTTGCTAAATTTTGTCAAAATTCTTTTATCAAATCTATTTTAAACTTCCAGAACCCTTTTTTTATGAGCACTCATTATACAAAGACTGACAAGCCGATTTTCTGTCATTGTTGAACGTATCGATGTTTTTACACTGCGTAGAATCTATCGATAGTAGGGGAAATACGGACAAAATGACATACGGTTTTATTTTAGGTTCATAACTCTTTATTGGTTAATCACAGCACTGTCATATTCTACACCAATCATCTTTGGTTTTTTACCTATGAAATATACTAAACATTTACAATATTAAAATAATAGGAAAAAAAATATTGTTAGTTTAATCGAGAGACCATCCACTATGGACAAAATGACATATACTATGGACAAAATGACACATTACGTGAGGACAAAATGACATACACGTAAAAACTATAAAATTACTGACAAAGTTTACAAATGAAACGCTTGGCTCTTTTAGAAACGTCAGCGCAAGAAGCGTGAGCGCAACGGAAACAATTTAAGCACGTAACCAGTCTTCTCCAGGCTTAGATCAGGAAAAAAAAATCATCGCAATATATGCATGGACAGTCTTCTTCATCATCATGAGAGTTATTAGGAAAATTTTCTTCTTCGAGTAACTTTTTAGTAATGTTTCGTCTCCTTTTCTCTGGCGGAGCTTTGGACTCATTTTTTGATTTAATTACCTTTATATTAGGAGTAGAAGTTAAAACTAGAGGTTTGTCGAGTCACGTGATTCCTTGCAAGTTTTTTGTTATGTGAAAGATAATAAGTTTGTAAATGATATAACACGCTGATAGCTCTCTTCTTGGTCAAATAAGAGAGATGTTCATTTTGATGGCCGTACGAGACAATACACGGACATGTTTCGGTATAAATACAGAAACTGTATTGTAGTAGAGTGAGAATTAATCTCACTACCCTGTCTTATTAATCCAAACAACTTCTGCAAAAAAAAAAAAATTGTATAGAAAATAAACAAGATAATTCAAGTAAAGAAAATTTTTATAAGTCTGAAAATAATGTTCAACAGAAAATATCAGTAAATTAGTTTTCACATGATATGCTACTGTATTCGATTATGTGAAATAATACAAGTTAAAAAACAATGTGTGTCTTTTATTTATTAAAATCTGCAAAAGAAAAGTGTGAATATTTACAATCCACAATTAGGAATAATTATATTATTAAAGAGATAAGAACTGGGAAACGATACTTTCTTATAAATGTACCACGATAATTATAAAAGTTACATTTGATAAAACGTAGTTAAAAAGAAAAGCTGACAGTAGCTTTTGCACGACTTTTCAGCACACTAAAAAAAATGTTAAACCTTGTTTTTGGGTAGGCGTGCGTTGTTTAAAACTTGTCAAGTCGATAATATTTCAAAAATTAATCATTTAAACCGATGGATTCAGATTCTTTTTTCAAATTTTTACGTAATTGTATTGTAGAGAAATACACAAAAAATCAATTTTTTTTTTCATTCTGACGTACGCAGAGCAGATAACTTTAAAACTCATAAATATTATGCAAATAATGTAATAAAAGTTACAAATAAAAAAGTTAACCCAAGTGTAAACCCAAGTGCAGAGGGAACACTTTATTACGTCGATAAATTTCCTAAACGCATTTCGCCAGAAAAGCCTCCTCAATAGGGCTGTCAGTAGATATGGTTTAGAACTTCAACATTAACCTAGTGTGGATTTTCATCTATATACCCAAAAAAGTTTCTCATATTTGTTTTAAATAGCGAAAAAACTCATACGAGTTAATTTGCAATATATTACTACACTCAAGATATGAGCCTCTATCTCTGTACCCCTCTTGAGTTGCAATCTCCATATGTGACAGCATTGATGTATTATAAGCAGAAGTATTCCTGTAAAGTTTCAAAATTATAGGTTAAAGAGGTTATGAAATATAACGTAACATACAAATCAACACACGAACATCATACACACATACAGAATTTTGTTACCTTATTTTCGATGTTTGGAATCAGGAGAACTCTAAACATTGAGAAATGCGAAACTTTGCAGGGTCAAAACTTGAACGATTACAATAATTTAAATCTGTCCTATATTAGCTCGAAAAGTAATAACCGTTGATATGATTTCACTTCTCCAGTATTATGCTACTTGATCAGCTTCAGAGATTGACATGCTAATCACTATGACAGAACAATTGTACATACTTTAGCGCAACGTGTACCGCAGAGAAACTTGGTGAAATAAATTGTAAATATTTATTCAACATTCTAAAATCATATTATATTTAGTGATTTCCAGTGGCCGATTGTTTAAAACCACTAAACACTGATAAGCTGCTTGCAGGTTATCAGTGTTTAGTGCCAGCTTCACCAACACAGTGTTTATCAGCTTCACCAACAGAGTGGCTGCGTTGAGTTTTCCGAGTTATTCATCACCTGTTTAACATCTAGATAGAGCCCAACTTTTCATAGAAAATGATTCTGTGATGCACCCTCTCTTCGTAGATCGCCCGTGTGTCGCGTTGCCGTATCCCATCACGCCATCGTATTCTGTTTATTAGGTCTTTACAGTATTTCTTATAATTCTTTTTGTTTTTGTTTCAAAATTAGTTTTTGTCAATTATCAATTGCTTTATCATAATTCTTATACAAGGGCTAATTACCTTCTGTCAGGAATTTTAGTAATAGGGATGGAGCTATATGTGCTATATAGATTTAATTTTGTTATAGTCAAAACACTGCATGATAAACCTGACTCCAGTGGCTCCTGTCAAAATGTTTCTACTCTGCAGGCATAGCATTATTTTCTGAATGGTAGAAATGTCAAGCTCGCTGAGGGATAGTATATACAGAAGGAAACTACAAAATAAATAGTGCTTTTTAAACACTCTCAGCCCTGTGGGCACTAAGAGGCTCTCTTTTAGCTGACACATTATGTGACCCGTTAGCAGGCCTACAAAACGGCGGCCAGATGGAGAGAGACGGAGCCTGACATATTCAGACGAACCACATCCAAAAAAATTCATGGGGATTTTTCGACCCGTTCGGATTTGATCTCGGATCCCGCAAAGCCGTAGGCTGCTACCTCGACCGCTCGACCATTTGCCCGAATAAACACTATTCCATTGCCATTACAGAAATTTCGGATAGAATTTGTAACGTCCTCATATAATAATTTAAGCGATGTGTCGTAAGTTCTGAATTGTTATTTTTCCTGGCAAAGCCTTCCGCCAGGCTCTATCAAGCAAGAACTAAATCTTTGTCATTGGTTAATATGCGAAGGTTCAAATATCAAACGAACAGCCCGAGTCTTTCATTAGGTATTAAGACTGAAAAATTATTAAGAAATTTGGCAAGTCTCCATCTCTTGTAAAATTTATAATAATTTCTCAGGATGGTAGACTGGCTGCTTGCTTCCTGCCAAATTTCTTAGTAATTATTTAGCTTTAATAGCTCGATATAGAAATCGGCTGTTCGTTTGATATTTGCAATAATTACCGGATTAGTTGTATTTATTACGTATGGGAGGGTCTTTTAATGTTTTATAGTTTTGAAGAAACAAACGAAAAAATAAATTTTTAAAATAAACTAATTTAACAATTTTATTTTAAGATAGGAGTAACATATTCGTTCTCTAACGACAACATAATTTATTTAGAACTAAAATACTCAAAACTAATCTCTATTTTTTAAAAGTCGTAAAACAACGTTGCACGCATAAGCATATTGTAGATGAAAGAACTAATGCAAATGTTTATAAAGCATGAAATGAAAAAATGGGATTTCCTCAGCACTCTTGTTTTGTGGTTTATCTACTCGGTGGAAAAAAATCCAGCAACGAGTTGCTTCACTTTCCCAGCAACTATAACAACTTATGTGGCTCCATCTGTTATCAAATTTTGTTTTATAAATGTTTCATATTATTAATTATTACAAATGGCAATAAGCTTAAATTTTATGAATGAGTTTTATGAAACGATTTTGTAAATACTAATAACGAGTAAAATCATCATTAAGTTCGACCGAACTCGATGTAAGACGCACTCTTTATCTTCAGCTGTCGACCTACAACCACCAAAATTTAATAGCATCAGTCCCCTAATACACAAATTAATACACAAAGAAATCCGCGCTCATGTTATAACTCTCAGAAAAAATTTTAAATATCTTGCATGAAAATTTTAAGAAACTATGATACTCTGAATAGCGAATATGATGAGATAGAATAATTTTTCCACATTAAAGATTATATATTTATACTGTTTGAAATCAATGACAGTGAACTGAATTTCTCCTAATTAATCACTACATAAAATTTAAAAAGACAAACAAAACGCTTAAATTCAATTTTGAAAGGTTTACAGTTCAGGTTTTACTAACTAACCAATAGCATGCTCCCAATTTCTGGATGTTATATGGTAAAAATCCAATAAAATACGTTAGAAGTCGTGTCGATTGTTGAAAAATAAATAAATCAATAAAATGTTTCACAAAAAAAAATAATTGAATAACCCTTTAACTTGTTTATAATTTCAAAACCAAGCATCGCTTACTATTATTCTGTATCGATCAATCTTCGTCCTAGCATAGTGCGACACTAGCGAGTTGTTACATGTCACGAGGTCAGCAGCAGAGAACAGAGACAGATGACTTAATTTGTTATAGCACCTTGTTTGTGCTTTTGTTGGTATTTTACTTTTCTTAATACTTGCTTAC